ATGGGCTCAATGCCCAAGGCTAGTCAAGGAGCTCTCACCATGGCCATATCAACCAAGCCCCAAAGGGCCAAAGTGACCTAAGACAGTCCTAGGGCAGGCCAAAACAAGGCTAGAACATGCATGGAATGAGGCCAAAACATGCTAAAAAGATGGGCACAAACAAGGGGCATGCAAGGCTACAAAGGGAGCATTACACTACGCCTATCATAACCAAACATGGCATGAATTATGCAATGAAAAACAGAGTTATAATATGTCAAACTAAGCCCCAAAACCCAATGAGATGGCATCCCGAAGACCTAATCATGGAAACATACACAATGACCCAATGTTAAGGCACAAAACAACAACTCTTTAAAGTATTGAAAAGATGGAAAACATAAGTGTGTGGCTACACTACATGGACTGAAATATGATTTCAAATGATGCCAAATCATGCGAATAGTCAAAACAATGCATGCTAGCAACTTGGTGCACAAAGCTTAACAAGCTAGGATGAACTAAGGCTATACGAAGCAATGCATATATGATCAAATCAACACCAAACAAAGCTTAAACATGGGGAAACATGACTAAACGTTCCTTGGAGTTGAGCCGAAATATGCAAGCATGATGGTCCAAATGCAAGATACATGTTAAGGCAATAAAAGGGATTACAAGGCAAGTACATTGTGCATGCAAGAGACCAATAAACCAGCTTAAAACAGAGGTATATCATGCCAAGATAACGCCAAATACTGGCTGAAATGGGGCCAAAACAAGCTAAGCAAACATGCTACTATGGTGAGCCAACAATGCAAGCAAATGAGACACAAAGGGAGGGGGGTGTCCCTCCCCTATTCAAGACCTCAAAACCACTTCTCCACCACTGAAAATCCTCTGGATTTCAATGGTGAGAAGGTCAAAACAAAAAGGTTTCAAAGCTCAAAAAGAAGGTCACAAAATAAGGCCAAACAAGGCCTAAGAGGGGGTAGACAACCCCCAACCCAAAAGTAACCTTAAACAAACATATTTAGCATATAAAAACAGAACTTTTTTTAGTTGGACAGTAAGCTTAAAACAATATGCAAGTATTGCTAAAAGCTTAAGCAAAAATAGGGAATAAAAGAGCAGTTTCTCACCCTTGAAAAACACTTCAAGAACACCAACTCCAACACCTCCTTCTGATCAAAACCAACTCAAAAACTTTGAAATCAACTCCTTAGCACCTCAGTAACTAAGGGATAGTGTACCACTAGGTGCTTTAGTGCAAAAATATGAACAAGAACACCCTTTAGAACACTATTACACACACAACTATAGAGAGAGAGGAGATATAGAGAGAGAGTGATATATATCTTCTATATCAGTTGGCTGAACCTCTGGAAAGGGAGAGGAGGCTCTCCTTTTATAGAAATCCAATTTTGCAAAGCTTCTTGGAGAAGCCAAGCAAGGCTCAAATCCCTCCATACACATGTATGGAGGGCAGAGTCTGTGCTCACCAGCTGGCACAGTTGGCATGCACAATGCCTGAAAAAGGCAAAGGAAAAGCCTTGGATGAAAAATATGGCTGATTGACCACCAAAGGTGGCCGACTGACCAAATATAGTGTCGATCGGCCAACACTCTTGGCCGATGGCAAGAAAAAGGAGCCGATGGCTTCAACCCTTGGCCGATCGGTCGAGGGGATGGCTAACAAGCCACCCTCTTCCATCAAAAGCAAAAACACAAGTGCTTGGTCCACAGCCAAGCACAAAACAATCAAGTTGAGAGATCTTGAGGCAAGGCGCGTGGCCGAGACCTCTGGGAACTCAAAACGAACACGAGCATAGATGATCATCGAGTGTTCAAACAATGACGGGAACTCAAAACAAACACGAGCATAGATGATCATCGAGTGTTCAAACAATAACGTCCAAGTCTTGAGGACGGTCAGAAATGGGGTGTCTACCGCCCCTGAACTACGTTGGTTTGATTCCTTGCAATGGGATAGGTAGGCAGCCAGTGGGTGCAACCATTTATTTATCTTTATTTTGTTTGTTTGTCCAAGTCTTCAGCCTTGTCAAAAATGGGTCGTCTTTGGGCATTGACATTCACTCACGTCATTTCATGACTTCAAGCTCTGTCAAAGAGGGACAACTGCAGACACCCCATTTTTGACCGCCCTTACGACTTGGGCATCACTAATGGTTTTCTTGGTCATGAAAGTTGTTCAGTGCAAGGGCTCGTTTTCTTCAGCAAAGAGACAGTCAAATCCCAACTTCATACCCCCTTTGGACTAAAATGATCTTGATCAAAATATTTTGAGACCTTGAAACCCTCTCTTTCAAAATATTTTTGAAATAAAGTTCCTACGATGTTCTAACGCTCGCATTTTGTTAAATGTTGCGCTTTTCGGTAAACCGGGCAAGGGCAAAGTGGAAATAGATGAAAGAGAGTTGAAATCTCTGAAAAATATTTCAAAACATCATGTTTAGGGGTTTGGATTTTAAGAAAAGAGAAGATGAGAGAAGAAACCAAGTTGGGGAAGAAGATAGGCATGAACCGTTAAGAGAGAGTCGGACAACCCTCACTAAATTAGGCCTCTCCTTTTGTATACTTGGATTTAAGCTATGAGGCCATCACCATTGGAAAGAAGACTTTCTGGGGCTTCATTTTGCACTCAAGAATCTCCTAAAGCCAAGTCCGGATGAGGGAGATATGATTGGTTGAAGTTGGGCATCATTCCGATTGGACGGAAACTGAGCAGCCTTCACTAAAAGAGGGATATCTATTAGCACAGTTGGAATTTTTGTGCAAGGCTACCACCATTGGAAAGCTTACTTCCGGGGCTTCAATTTGGACACAAGAATGACCTGAAAAGGGAGTCTAGATGACGGATTCAGGCTTGCTTTATGTCAGGGACCAGGACTGATTTTTTCCGTCGGCCTCTATGGAAGTGTGCCGGCCACAATTTGAGCATGCCGGCCATAGGTTAGCCAAAAGTGAACCTCATCAGCCACAAATGGTGTCCGGTTAGCCCCCAAGATGGCTGATCGGCCACAAATGTCCAAATTTCAGAATTTTTGCAGACATTTCTCCTCCAACTGTTTCCAGCTTGTGCCACCTGTCTTAGCTCAGATATTTTGACCAAGCTTGATATTTTGCTATATATGAAAGCCTTATATCTCATATTCAAGGGGTTAGAACATTTGAAAGGGTTAGAGAAAATTTGAGAGCTTCTCACTCTAGAATCCTCTCTCTTTAGAAGCTTTATGAGCAAACTCTCCCCTCTCTCCAGAATTCTCCCTCTCTCCTCTTGTTTTAGGCTTGAAAGTGAGAATTCCTTGCATATTTGCATACACTCCCTTCATCAAAGAGGCTGATTTGCTGCTGTGCTTCAAAGGTGACCTCTCATCCCTTTTAAGCTCGTTGTGCACTATTGTTTTGCCATAGTTTTCAACTACTTGGGGGCTGTTTTTGGGGTGGTGTTGAACTACAAAAACCTCTGTTTTTTCTCTATTTTTTAGTCCTAATAGTGTTGATTTAAGCCTTGTTTGGCTAGGGGATGTTTCCTCCCTTTGCTCCTTGGCTTGTAAGGCCTTTTGAGATATCTTTCAAGCTTTTCACACAACTTCCTTTTGGCCTTAGAACCACTGAATTCCAAATTCAGTGGTGGAAAACTTTTTTTGAGGCTCAAAATAGGAGGGGGTCCTCCCCCCTCCTCTTGTCTTGTTAGCATGTGTTGTTGGCCTATAAAATAAGCATGTATTTCTCCCTTCTTGAGGCTTAGTTTGACCATGTTTTTGTGAATTTTTGGGCTTGCTCTAACTCTACTTTAGGCTGGTTTGGTTGTTGCTTGCATGCTTCATGCACTTGTAGTGTAATCCTACTCACTAGGCTAACATGCTTCATGTCTTAGCCTTTAATTCTAGCATGTATTGGCTCCACTCCAGCATGTTTTTTGCCATTATTTAACATGATACAACTCTGATTTTAGTTGGTTGGATCACCTCTTGCTTGGTTCTTGCACTTGTAGTGCAATCATGCTCCTTAACCTAGTGTACTTGGTGTTTTGGCCCTTCATGCTAGCTTGTCTTGGCTATATTCCATACATGTTTTAGTATTATTTTGACATGCTTTAGGATTTTTTTGGGTATTCTTGGCCTTTTGGGGCTTGCTTTGTATAGCTATAGTGTAAATGGCTTCACTAATGTTGAGTTTTGAGACCACTAGCATGCTATATTTGTGATGTATGCATGATATGGTGTCACTCGGCATGTAATTTCAGAGCATATTTCATTGCCACACTCTCACATTTTCCACTCCTTGAATGTATTTGAGAGTTGTGTCTTCATGCGTCGTTTGCGAGCCATCAAATGTGCATATTTTCCTTGTGTTATATGCCTTGATCTTAGTATATTTCAGCCACTGTTTTGGCATATTTAACCTCTGTCCGGGGTTGGTTTGGTCATTTAGGCTTAGTATTGTATGCCTATAGTGCTATGCTCATTGCTAGTTTCAATGCTTTCAACTCTGAGCATGTCTTGCATGCATCATTTTCATGCTTTGATGTCATTTAGCATCCTATTTTAGTGCTGAAATATGTTCCATTGCATCCCATCTTTCATTTGTTTTGTCACTTTTGAAAGAGGTCTTGAGCCCCTTGTTGGCTTGAGCATGCAATTGAGGCTTTCATGCCTAATGGTTTTAGCCTTCTCGTGAGGGTTTCTACTAACCAACGACATGATGTATCTTTCATGCTCAAGATGCTTGTGGCTTAGTCCGTCTTTCCATTTAGAGGACTTCTCACTTTTGGACTTAGTTTTTCGTTTTTATTTATTTCAGTTGTTTGTCGGTTCATTACCTGATTAAGAATGTTGTACCAATACCATTGTTTAGTTTTCAGTATCAAATTCAATCTCATTTCCATGCTAAGTGGTGCTCATGATGCAAAATTCAATACATTTAAAAAAAAAAAAAAAAAAAAAAAAAAAAATTCGAGGCATTCGAGCATCAATTTGTCGAGACCCAACCCAAACATTAGTTTTCATTCATGCACTCCGTTTGTCATCTTCTGCATAGAACGACTTCTCACTCACTCATCCATTTCTCCGAGCTTTTCTTCAATGGCAGCTTCTTCTACTGCAAGAGACCAACAAGCCGCCTCCTCCTCCTCCTCTTCCATGTCCCGGTGCGCCTACCACGCCTTCTTGAGTTTCAGAGGCAAAGACCTCCGCAAGACCTTCATCGACCACCTCCACACAGCCCTCTCCCAATCAGGAATTCACACTTTCAGGGACGATGACGAGGTCGAAAGATGCCAAGACATTGACTCCGAACTCAGAAAAGCAATCCAACAATCTAGGGTTTCCATAATTGTGTTCTCCAAAGGCTATGCTTCTTCAAAATGGTGCCTTGATGAGCTAGTGAAGATTGTTGAGCGCAACAAGACCTCTGGGCAGGTCATTTTGCCTGTGTTCTATGATGTTGATCCATCTCATGTGAGGAATCAGACTGGGCCCTTTGGGGAAGCATTTGATAGGCATGAAGAGGAAAGGATGGGAATGGTGAAGAGGTGGAGGGAGGCTCTCACTGAAGTTGCAAATCTTGGAGGGAAGGTTTTGCAGAATGAAGCTGATGGGTAATTTTGTTGAAGACTTTTTGAGATTTCATTCAGTTACTGTTGTTGTTGTTGTTGTTGTTGTTGTTTGATTGCTTAGTTTACACACTCTGTAGACTGCTTTTCTATTAGTATGATCTTTGAAACTTTATAGCTCTGCAAAAAGTTATGATCAATATCTGATTCTGATCTGATCTTTGCCTTTGTGATCTTAATGATACCTAGAAGAAGATTATCTATACTGCAAATTGAACTTTAAGAGTTTATGTAATAAAGTCAATAAATCAATAGATGAAATGTGGTAGTAACAAACAACTTTAGAGCTCACACCTAATCTTCTCATTCTTTTGATATATATATTTTAAAATTTTTTATTTTTTTGTTTATTTGTTTGGCCTCTAAATTTCTAATAATTCTATTGGATCTTTCCAACTTAAGTTACAACCAATGTTTCAGAGAGAATCCAGGAACCAACTTTCTACCAATATTTTACCCAATCATCCATGAATATAAATATATATATATATATATATATTTGTGCTTTGCAATTGTAAAGTAAAAGAAGATTGGTTGTAGTTTAGTTTCTATCCGAACTGCTCTTCTATTTAATCTTGTATACATTCATCATGGATAGCTGCCACATATATGACAAACTACATTTCGGCAATTAATCAGTTTCGGGAATTTTCTCCTACATTCAGTTTAGTCCTTATTGACTGGGGTCTCTTATTGATTTTCTTTGGTAATGGGAAAATCAAATATCATAAAATTTGTTTTGATTTAAACACTTCCCAATATGAATTTATGGTTCATTTCAACTCGAGACATGCTTAGTCTGCTTTGTTTTCTAACTGATTGCAATTTGTAGGCATGAGTCAAAGTTTATCCAGGAAATTGTTACAGAGGTTGGAAGTAAGTTGAATCGCACTGTTTTGAATGTTGCACCCCACCCAATTGGTTTAGATGCTCGGGTCAGAAACATTAATTTGTGGCTACAAGATGGGTCAACTGAAGTTGGTGTATTGGCAATTTATGGTATGGTTGGAATAGGGAAGACAACCATTGCCAAAACTGCTTATAACCTAAACTTCTACAAATTTGATAGTAGCAGCTTTCTTGCAAATATTAGAGAAGCTTCGGAACAACCTAAAGGTTTGGTTGGTTTACAAAGGCAACTTCTTTCTGATATTCTGAAGAGGAAAGCCAAAAAAGTATACAATGTAGATGAAGGAATCCTTAGGATTAAAAATGCCATATGCTGCAAAAGAGTTCTTGTTGTTCTTGATGATGTGGATCACTTGGATCAATTAAATGTTGTATTTGGGATGCGAGAGTGGTTTTATTGCGGAAGCAAAATTATCATAACAACTAGACATGAGCGATTGCTAAAGGCTCGTGATGTGTGTGAGATGTATAAGGTTAAGGAGTTGGATGATAAAGAATCACTTCAGCTCTTCAGTTGGCATGCCTTTGGACAAGACCATCCTGCCGAGGGTTACATGGAGCTCTCAGAAAGAGTGCTACAACATTGTGGAGGGATCCCTTTAGCCCTTCAGGTTTTGGGTTGTTCAATGTCTGGCAGAAGTGTAGATGTCTGGGAGAGTGCAATAAAGAAACTGGAAGTGATACCCGACAGTCAAATCCTAAAAAAACTTCAGGTAAGCTATGATTCTTTGGAAGATGACCATGACAAGAATTTATTCTTGGATATCGTCTGCTTCTTTATTGGAAAGGACAAAGATTTCACGGTTAGAATACTAGATGCATGCGATTTCTACACAATAGTTGGGATTCAAAATCTTATTAATAGATGTCTCTTAATGATTGGTGAAGATAACAAGATGAAGATGCACGACTTGATTCGGGACATGGGGAGACATATTATTCACCAAGAATCGCCAGAGGAGCCTGGGGAACGTAGCAGACTCTGGCATCATAAAGACTCCCTTTACATATTAAGTGAAAAAACTGTAAGAAGCATGTTTGCCACTACTATGTTTATGTTTTCTTGCATTCATGGAAGTTACTTATCCAATGTTCAATTATCAGGGTACAGAAAAAATCGAAGGCCTTGTGCTTGACATGCAAATGTTTATGGAAGACAACCCTGTTGAAACATTCTTCAGTAATAATGATGCAAAACGGCAGCTTTCCCAGGAAGTTCTTGATGAAATACGGCTGATGGAGCAAGACAGATCATCGAAACGGCGTCGACTTGACGTCTCGAAGCACTCAATAGATGCTATCTCAAAGATTTCAAATGAGGCAGACTTGAAAACCGATGCATTTGCAAAAATGCATGAAATTAGAATACTGCAGTTCCATTATGTTAAACTCACTGGCTGCTATAAGGAATTACCTAAAAAATTAAAATGGGTATATTGGTGCGGATTTCCTTTAAAATATATACCTGATGATTTTGCTCTGGAGAGTCTGGTTGCTCTTGAATTGCGTAATAGCAGCTTGAAACAAGTTTGGAGAGGAACCAAGGTATGTTACATTACCTCTTTATTTTTTGGGATTAAATTTGTGCTGAAGAACTAATTCTACATTAATTTTTGTTGTCTTTTGTTTTTTCCTCTTACAGGTGCTTAGATTATTGAGGTTTCTTAATCTGAGTCATTCCCATGGCCTTGCTAAAACCCCCGACTTCTCCGGACTCCCCAATCTCGAAAGATTGATTCTTAAAGATTGCACAAGATTAGTTGAAGTTCATGAATCCATTGGAGAACTAGAAAGACTGGTTTTTCTGAATCTAAGAGATTGTCAAAATCTTCGGAACCTTCCAAATAACATTTGTAAGCTGAAATCCCTTGAAAAACTCATTCTCTCTGGTTGCTCAAAGCTCGTTTTGCCTGTGGAACTGGGCAAGCTGGAATCCTTGACGGAATTCCACGCAGACAAAATTGCTGTAAACCAATTGGTGTCTACCAATGGTGAGTTGAAATCATTGAGGTCATTCGTTTGGTCTTGGTTATCAAAACGAAGAAAACGCCCAGAATTCAACTTTTCTTTGGATTCTTTATCACACACATTAGTGAAATTAAGTCTTGCAAAATGCAATCTTTCAAATGCTGCTATTCCCATTGATCTTAGCAGCCTGTCCTTGTTGCAGTACTTGAACCTTAGCGAAAACCCAATTTGTAGCCTACCAGAGAGCATCAAAGGTCTTTGTATGCTTGAGGACCTTTGGTTAGATTCGTGCACAAGCCTCCAATCACTGCCGGAGCTTCCATCGAGTTTAATTAAGCTCAAGGCACAAAACTGCACATCATTGAAAAGAATAACAAATCTACCAAACCTGTTGAATAGACTGTTTTTGGATGTGAGTGATTGTAACAGGTTAGTTGAGGTCCAGGGATTGTTCAGGTTAGAACCTATTGGAAACTTTGTACCGGAAATGATCAACAGTTTGGGCTTGTTTAACTTGGAATCCATTGAAAACACAGAGGTGGAATTGTTCAACAATATGACAAAAACAAGAATAAAATGTCCTATACAGGTGCTCTCTCTCTCTCTCTCTCTCTCTCTCTCTCTCTCTCTCTCTCTCTCTCTCTCTCTCTCTC